CAGTCTACATAACCACCTTGTGAGACGAGAGTTCTTTTCACCTCATTTTGCAAAAATGGAAATTGAGGCCCAGAATAGTGACGTGACTCTTGGAGAGGCAGTAAGTTGCAGAGCTTTGTTGAGATCCTGTTATTCTGGGCTCGTGGTCTTTCCACCACCCCAGGATCTTCTTGGTTTGGGGGTTGCTCTTGGGGTTGAGAAGAGCAAAAGCCTGTTTCCGCCAGACCTTGGGACTTGCCGTGGGATGGTATCTCTGTGGCGAAGCCTAGGTTTTGGAGTCCAGCTTCTCTCTCGGGCAAGTCATTAATCTCTCTGAGCCTCAGTTTCCTCTTTGACAAAATGGAGAAGGTAAAACTGGCTTTGCAAGGGTAAGTGAGATAATGCAGGCAAAGTGCCTGACACAGCAGGTGCTGGACAAATACAGCCTGGTCCCTGGGCTTGCCGGACCTTGTGTACCCGTCCCTAAGGGTTGGTGATACTTGGCCTGGCGACCTACCTGTTGCAACAGCAATAGGGTCTTGCTGTGCCGCTGCTTCAGTCTGCTCCAGTTCCTGATGTTGACTGAGAGGCAACTGAGGAGCCCATTAACCAAGCTCACCTAAATTCAGACCCAGCAGAAAGGAGTGGCTTCTGAATTTATAACTTCTCTCTCTTACTACGTCTGACAGTGTTATAGGCATTTGCTCCTGGAAATGTAGGAAGCAGAAGCAGCTCCTTTTGTAGATGGGTAAATTGAGGGACAGAGAAAATGACTTCCTGCCCAGGTTCACCTGACACATCCTTGAGGAAGTTCAGAGTAGAATGAAGGTCACTTTCCTCCTGGGCTTCTCCAGACTGATTTTTGTGTGGTTCTAACTTCTTTTGTTCTTTTCAGAGGGGAGGCAATTGAGTTAAAACTCTAGCTCACTGTTTTGAACTTCAGCCCACACCCCTCCGGCAAATAATCAGCGTTCATGTAGCCCAAGTCAAGGAAAGAGAAGTCTTTGTTCAAATCATCCCACTGTACTTTGGGATTCAGGATAGCACAGAAACCTGGCAAACAGGCTTTTAAGGTAATAGATTTTATTGAATGACACTAAGAGTCTGCCTTCCCCTCGTGTGTGCAGTTTTTTTGTCGCCTCTGCCGGCATCTGTGTGACTCATGTGCCTGAGGGCATGCTGCCGGGACCGAACCACCTTCACAGCTGCTCAGCTCAGGGCCACAGGCTCTTCTTCTCTTCTCTGGGGGAGGGCGCTGTTCTTGAGTAAGACCTGTCAGGAGTCTGGGGAGTTGAGGACAAATCAGTGTCTGCCCTGTCAGACTTTTAAGTGGGGAACACACCTGTAAGGCGTAACTGGCTGGAGCAAATGTGCCAGAATGCCCACATCCAAGTGATTGTTGCTCCTTTCAGAGTTGTCTCTTCAGGAGGCTACACACACGCTCCACTGATGTTCCCACTGCTCAAAATAATGTGGTCAACGACCTCTAGCAGTTTCCATCAGAGCCACCTTTTCAGCCAAGTGAGAAAATTGTTTTTGAGACATTTTTCATATCCTCGTTTTTGAATACCAAATGGTGTCCCAAGCGTGACCACCATCGTTTTTTGGGGTTTTTTTTTGTTTTAAACCAGTTGAAATTCCAGATAACTTCTAGTGATTTCCAGAAGTGATAGTCACCCTTGGAGGGACCTAAGAGACCATGGCCCATGCTGAAGAGATTCAGAGGAACATCCTCTGAATGCAGATCTTGTTACTTGGCCAGGTGGGTAGCTGTGTGCACCTTGTTCTTTCAAAGAGTCAGGTCAGGGACTGCTAGGTAATGGTTGAGTCTTTTGCTTGAGTGGGGAGTCCTGGTGAAGACACGCTCCCTGTTTGTAGAGATGACATGGTCCCCTCTCTGGGGCAGATTTAGTTTGGACTTCAGTCCTGTCTGCTAATAAGGCAGCTTTCTCTGGATGTTGCTGAGCAGAGGTCTCTATAGTCATGGAGAACGAAGTTGTCTTCATGTGTTTCTCCCTGTCCTCACCCCGCCACCCCTGTCCCATCCCTCACTAATGTTCAGTGTTGGGGCCACAAACAGTCCTTTTCCAGCTGAAATCTGTTCATACCTGGCTCTCCAGGTGGTAGTCGTACCTTCTTTCCTCACCTACCCAAGGCTGCAAGGAAGTCATCTTTCTTCCTGCACTTGTGGCTGGAGGAGCTTCCCGGCCAGCCAGCATCCCAGAAGCTAGTGTAGGGAGGGGACATGGGGTTAGAATACAGGAAGATGACTACAGTTAGAGCTCAAGATTGTAAGGTGCAGAAATGGCAAAAGTGGTGGGCATCTGTCCCGGATTTCCTGAGCAGTCACAAATCCAGACGGTCTCTTCTGTGTCTCACAGAGTAGTGATGGCATATCTAGTTGATGGAATGTGATGCAGTCATTTAAAATGACATGGATGAGTTTAAAAGAAAGTAGAGGGGCTTCCCTGGTGGTCCAGTGGGTAAGACTGTATGCTCCCAATGCAGGGGGCCCGGGTTCAATCACTGGTCAGCGTACTAGATCCCCCATGCCGCACCTAAGGGCCCGCGTGCTGCAACCAAAGATCCCACATGCCGCAACTAAGACCTGGTGCAGCCAAATAAATAAATAAATATTTTTTTTAAAAAAGAAGAAGAAGGGCTTCCCTGGTGGCGCAGTGGTTGAGGGTCCACCTGCTGATGCAGGGGACACGGGTTCGTGCCCCAGTCCGGGAAGATCCCACATGCCGCAGAGCGGCTAGGCCCGTGAACCATGGCCGCTGAGCCTGCGCGTCTGGAGCCTGTGCTCCACAACGGGAGAGACCACGACAGTGAGAGGCCCACGTACCAAAAAAAAAAAAAAAAAGAAAAGAAGAAAGGAGAAGATGTTTATATTACAATAAGTTTAAAATTCAACATGCCAAATCGTAAACACAGTATGATCACAATTATATACAAACAAAAAAGCACACATCCCCCCCCCAAAAAACACAGGCATATAAAAGAGAATGAAAGTAAATATACCAAGTATTAAAAATGACTTTTCTGTGGGTAACAGGACTATGATGATTTTTTTCTTTCGTTTTAGCTTTTTTTTTATATTTCTCAAGTATTCTGTAATAACCGTCATATCAGTGTCTTAAATGGGAGCCAATTAAACTTGATAAAATCCCAAACAAACCTTTCTTACTGTTGGACTTTGTGTCCTGAATTTTGGCTTAGAGATACAGCTGCCGTGACTGAGATAACCTGAGAACTCTTCTTCCTTGTCTCAACCTCTGTAAATCTGAAGTCAGGCAAGCCCAGGTTCCAGGAAGACGTTTCGGGCATAGTTCTGTCTGGAGGCAGGGGCTGGACAAGGCAGCCTCTCAGAGCCCCTTCCCACCCCCGGTTGGCGATTATCTGTGCTGCACACAGCTTCTGCCAACACTGAGCGGACTCTAAGTGTGGTGACATTCTCTGAGTGGGGAGCAGTAACAAAAGTCTGGCTGGGATGGAGGCCGGGGGCGGGGAATCTGGAGTGAGTGCCTGAGCTGACAAGGAGCCAGTGATCTTTCTGCCTGGTGGGACTTGCACCTCCAGCTGCCAAGCATCCGGCAGGGCCCAGCCGCTTGGAAAGCTGGTGCCCGCTGCAGTGGTCCTGCTGCTGGCACAGCTCAGAGAGCACGGGGGTCACAGCTACTTCCGCAAAGGACTTCCCTAATGGTACAGGGTGTCAGGTCTCTGTCTTGGGGTGTGGGAAGGATCACTTATCCTTTGAGCAGCAGTGGTTTTGAAGGAAGCATCGTGTCTCCAGGGTGGAAACTAGGATTTTCCCTTGTAGCACCCATGTAAAAGTGAGCCTGGCGAACAGACATCCAGAGCGTGTCTTCCTCAGCTGTGTCTTGCCTGGATCCTCCATCTCCATCTACTCAGGGCCCTGGCCCAGGCCTCCAAATCGGATTTTCTCCACTCCTCAAGCCAAAAGCTTCAGTTTACTGCAGCTACCTGGGTCCTGTTGTCCATCAGAGCAGCAGACAACCCAGCCATAGAATGCTGGGACTTACACTTTGAGGAAGGCTTAGGGATCCTAGAGTTAGCAGGGTCTGGGAATCAAGCGTTGAGCTGTTTAAGGATAGGGATTGGATTGTGTGGAGTCATTCTGCTGCCGCTGCTGCTTTGAAAGACTCTGGCAAATGCTGGGGCTCCGTGGAGGCAGGTAAGAAGGGTTCTCTGTGATGGCTCTTAAGTGCTATACCATGATGTTCCCAGGGTGCTGGCCCTCCCAGGGCAGGTGGACCTTCTTGGTGGGACGCATGATTTTGCTGGATGCTGATGGGGACACATCAAGGGGAACTTCACTGGGGATGCAGGCGTGCTTCATTTCTTCGTGCTCTCCAGGCATGGCACAAGGGGTTAATATCTTCAATGGCTCTATTTTGGGGCTAATGGAGTGTTCCTAGAATAAGACTCTTTGTTGAGTAATCTATTTTGGGAGGCAAGCCCCACTGGCATTTATGTAAGCGATTCTGTATATCTGGGGGTGTGGATGTGAGCGCAAGTGGTTTCTTGTTACTAATTAGAAACAGCTTCTTTTGGGAGCCAGGGGAAATGGAGGTGTGTGTGTGTGTGTGTGTGTGTGTGTGTGTGTGTGTGTGTGTGTGTAAGGAGTGTGGATTGCTTTTGCTGTAAAGAGTGGGGTAAACCGTGTGTGCCCATCTGATGGGGCAGTTGCCACAAACACCCGAGTAAGAAAATAAAAGTGGGGACCTTGAGACAGCAGGCAGCAGTGACCTGGCCCCTTCGTGGAGTGTCAGGCTGTGGAGATTGCCCATCTGTCATGCTCTTGATTCCCTGAAGCACGTGGGTAGGCTGGGTGTCGTGGCCCTCTAACAGCAATCTGGAGTTAGGTGGTGTCTAGAAGATCTGTCCTGGGCTGTTTAAGGTCCATCAACCAGTTCTAACCTGAAATAAATCTCAGATTCCACTTCCCACTGTGGCCTGGCCACTTAATCACTGGATTCCCTTCTGTCTCCCCACAGGCCAAATCCACATATGTCGAAGCAAGAGAGAAACCAAAGACCGTCCAGCATGGTCAGTGAAACATCCACTGCCGGGACCACTTCTACCGTGGAGGCCAAGCCTGGCCCCAAGGTGAGCTCCTGGCCATTTCCCCTCTTCTGCATTTTGCCAGGCCCCTTTGTAGCCAGAAACCCGTTTGATCTTCACCATAGTTTTGTGAGGGAGACATGTAATAAGTATTCTCCCCAGATGACAGATAGGAAATTGTGGCCAGTTGGGGTTATGTCACATGTCCAAGAAAACAGGTGATTGCTGACAGAACCAGGACTGACATCTACGGCCTTCGCCGCATTCTTCATTTTCCTGTCGTGTCTTTGGAGGGCCACACCTCTGTTCACATGTGTGTCAAAGACCGCGTGGTGAGATTCACAACAGAAGGGCCCAGAGGCTTCTGTGCCCACGTTATGGAAGCACTGACTGAGGAGCAGGGAAGAGAACCAGCATTGCAGAGAAGGGGAGGGTGCTGAGGAGTGAACCAGATGGGAGGGGTAAATATCTGGAAATTGGCAAATTCTGTGACCAGAGTGTAGCATTGCTCCAGAAAGCCATAGGACATATTAGGGCCAGAAGCTGCTGGTGAAAGTTGATTGAAAAATCCCTTTACGTTTTTTTCCCTCTGTGACCCAAACAGGAAGCTTGCTAGCTCTTGCACCCACCTTTTAACTAGGATGCTGCGGCCGTGTGCACGCCCATTCTCTGTCTTCTTGCTGTTCTTTTCATCAGAGGGCACTGCTGCATAGATGACGGCACAGGGAGCCTACAGCCCTCCTATCATGCAGATGCTTCTTGGGCCTCCCCAAATGCCCCTTGCTGCTAGAGTTCAAGTCTGCTCTTTCCTAGATCATAAAGTCCAGTAAAGTCCACAGCTTTGGGAAGAGGGACCAAGCCATTCGGAGGAACCCCAATGTTCCGGTGGTGGTGAGGGGCTGGTTGCACAAGCAGGTGAGGAGACTGAGGAGGGAGGGGTGGCAGGGAGGTAGTTCTTGCTGAATTCCTTCCTTACCCTGACCCCCGGGAACTGGGAACAGGCTCTTAATAAGCTTTCTGTTCCTGAGTTTGTCTGAGGCCAGTAGATTCTGCCCGCTGTGCTAAGCGACTTGCTGTTCGTTTTTGTGAGTTGGCAGTCTGCTCAGTGGCTGCAGTTTCCTTCCCCAAACACTTAACCGCTTTGGTTCCCAGTGCTCTTGGCTGTCCTGGGACTCGGGCCCAAGTGTGGGTGGGTCAGTATGAATCCAGCCTTACTGCCAATCCTCTGCCAGCACTTGCCTTCCTGATGTGAAAGAGCCTTTGTTATCATTTGCCTGAAAAATCCCATCCTTTCCTTTCCCCCAGTCTAACACACATACCTGGCATCCTAGCACCTCAGGTTCCAAATCAGCCAAACTCAGCTCATTGTCTCCTCACCCCTTACCTGTCTTTTTCCCCTGAACTGTTTCTTCTGGATCTTGGTGGAGGTACCACCATTTTCCCAGGCACCCAGGTTAGAAACTTCAGCACCATCACCAGCTCCTTCTCCCACAGGCCATCCTTCATCTCTAGCTTCACCACACTTCACCACAACTTCACCAGAGGCAGTTGTTCTGCCTCTGGTCCTCTGGCCTTGGATAGGCTGTGAGCTCCCAGGGTCAGAGAACACGTCCCTTTTGTCTCCTCCCTTCTCTTCTTGCCATCCATCCATTCATCTACCCACCCACCCACCAAGTGCCTGCCGTGTTCTAAGTACTCTCACAGCAACGACAAAGAGATGAGTAACATGTGGTTCCCGCCCTTGAGGAACTCCTGTCATAGTCTGCAGGGGGAAACATAGAAACACCTCTCACGTGTCATGTCATCACCCAGCACAGTCTCTCACATAGCATATTATCCAAAAAAACACAAATTCTGAGAGCAATGATGTACATTTTTACTAAAGGCTTTGTGGGAAAACAGAGGAAGACATTACCTTTCACACCACACAGAATAAATTCCTAAATGTCCCCTTGAAATCTCCCACAGCTCTCCAGCCTCTTCTGGCCGGTACTCCTCTGGCACCACCCTCTCTTAATGATTCCCTCTTCCCTCACAGCTCTGTTCTCATTCTCTTTTTTTACCTGAGTAATCTAACCCTCTGACTTTTTCCACTTGCATCCCCGTCTCCGTTAAACAAAAGGATGCTCCTTTGAAATGTGGAGGTAGAGGGGAGGTATTGTAAATAATTCTTCTCCCCAACAGACACCCCCTGGCCCAGGCCCCTCGGCTCCTTGGCTGTAGCTGTAACCAAGGTCTGTGTACAGTGCTGTGGGCACACAGCAGAGAGAATGTAGCTATGCTTGGGGGAGTCCTGAAAGGCTTTCCAGAGGAGATGACATTTGAAGCAGATGTGGAAGGATGGAGAAGAGCTTTTCAGACAAAGCAAGTATCGTATGCCAGACCATCTGGTTAATGCAGGAGATAAAACCAAGAAACGCAGGAGCTTAGCAAGTTTTTAACTTTAGCAAGTGGAGAATGAATAAAACTTTAAAAAATTTAAGCCTGTCAAAAACTTTTGCAGAAGGAAGACAATTTTAACAGCTAAAAATGGCTCTGGAATTTTCCTAGGTTTGGGAGAAAAGTGACCCTAAAACTACTATTTTCCTACCCTAGCCATATTTTTAAAAAATTTTCACAAGAAAATCCAGGTCTTTTTCTGTTGAAAGGAAGGAAAAACACAGCAAAATCAGTCCTTTGTGGTAGATAACTGAACTTAGTCAAATGAGAACTTTGCCTCATTGATTAATTAGCTAACTTAAACTCTTTGTTTCATACTATGTAAACCAATTTTCTAATCAGTATAAGTGAAGGTATTTTACAGTGTAGCACCTGAATCAGTGAATGAATGAAGGACGGAAGGAATAAATAAATAACTTCCCTTTTGTTAAAAACGGATTTCTTTCTTAATGGATGAACTGTATTTTTGGGTTTTTTTGGCCACACTGCACGACATGTGGGAGTTCCCCAACCAGGGATCGAACCCACGCCCCTTTTAGTGGAAGCATGGAATCTTAACCACTGGACTGCCAGGGAAGCCCAAGAACTGTATTTTTGAATTCATATCTTCCTTTCTAAAAGGAGGATGCTTATGATACACTAGTCTGTTTATAGGAAACAAAACTTCCTAGGCATAAACCATCATTGGATCTAAATTTTAATGTCCTATTCAAAGGATGGCTATGCAGTAAAAACTTATTAATTTAATTCGGGCTTCCCTTGTGGCGCAGTGGTTGAGAGTCCACCTGCCAATGCAGGGGACACAGGTTCGTGCCCCGGTCCGGGAAGATCCCACATGCCGTGGAGCGGCTGGGCCCGTGAGCCATGGCCGCTGAGCCTGCGCGTCCGGAGCCTGTGCTCCGCAACGGGAGAGGCCACAGCAGTGAGAGGCCCGCGTACCGCAAAAAAACAAAAAACAAAAAACAAAACCTTATTAATTTATTGAAAGAAAGAGTGAATATGGGCAAGTCTCGGTTCCAGAATCAGGTTGTACATGACTGGGGAGGGGGAACAGTATGCTCAGATATTGCCCTGATTAGTTTCCTTTGCTTTGCAGGACAGTTCCGGGATGAGGCTGTGGAAGAGGAGGTGGTTTGTGCTTGCTGATTATTGCTTGTTTTACTATAAAGGTGAGCTGAGGCTCAGGCCACCAACGGGTCTTTGTGCCAGAGGGGGTGGTGAGGTCATGCAAATGGTGGTCTTCTCAAATCCAGTGAATGGATCAGTGGCCTGAGCTAATCGATCACCTGTTGACCTGCCAAAGTGTTCACTTTTACATATGTGCATGGTTGGTGATTTCATTTTTACCAGTCCCAGCACTGGAAGTGCCATTTGTTGAGTTAAAATAATAGAATCTGGTTTGCCTTCTACTTAAGGTCTCAAGATCTGGAGGTTTTCCAGCTTCTGCCCCACTTGGGGCACAGGCACACCTTTGATTCAGTCTGGAGAGATGGGAAGTATAGGTGAACATTATATTTTGTAACCTCTTATCTGGATTTATCCCCTGTTATTGGATGGGCAACTGGTGAATTAAATTGGCCATATGAACATTTGTGGAGCCCAGTACATAGAATTAGGGGCTGTGCAAAGGTGAGAAGAAAGTAAGGCTCAAAATATGGAGGAAGAGATAGCCTAATTTTAAGACAAGACTAGGTTTTGGAAGACATCCAAAGTGCTTAGGCAGTTCAAGAGGAACAAGAAGCCAATTCCATCTTGGAGAACTTGGGCAGGCTCCTCAGAAGAATTAGGGCTCGAGTTGGGCTTTTTAGGATGGGTTGAGCTTTGCCCACGTGTAGGGGGAAGATGGGCATTTAGGCAGAAGAAACAACTTGATTAAAGTTCTAGAAGCAGAAGAAAGTGGAATGACAGACCTGCAAAGCCAGAGTGAGTCTTGCATGGAGGACACGCTAGGAGATAAGGCTCAGGAGGTGGGTAAGAGCCCAAATGCAAAAGGGCTGTGACACTAGACAGAGGAAGTTGGGCTTCATTCTGTATCCAGTGGGCAGTCAGCAAGTGCCTTTGGGTGGGAGAGCAGTGGGACCAATTCTGTCATTAGGAAGTTACCTCTGGTAACGAAGACAGTTTGGGGGAGGAAGAGAATAGACATAAAAGGTAGGATATTTCACACCTGCTCTAACATTGCCTATGAGGTGTGTACCACCCAGAATTCCCTTCCCCATCCTTTACAAAAGTTTAAATATCACCTTCTGAAGCCTTCTCCACCTCCCCAGGCTGTGTGCCACTCCTGTCTGTGTGTTCCCGCAGCACTTGGTGTGCCTCTGTGTTTCAGGAGTTAGCAGGTCGAGCTGAGCGTGTTTACATGCCTGTCCCCCTCCTCGGGGAGAGGGCCCTGTCTGATTCACCTGTGTAGTTCCAGCGCTAGCACAAAGGTCCCCAGAGCACCTGAATGGGCGATCCGTGATTGCTGTCATCCTGGGAGAGATAAGGAGCCTTGAACTAGGGCAGTGGGATGGACCAGCCCAAGGAAGGTGCCACAGAAGGTTATTCTGATTTGTATTTCCGTTCAAAGACAGCCGAGAAGAAGTGGTCCTTGGGAGCATCCCTCTGCCCAGCTACGTGATCTCAACAGTGGCCCCCGAGGATCGCATAAGTCGCAAGTATTCCTTTAAGGTACTGCCCACCCCCACTCCTCCAGTGCAGCAGTTCCATCCTAAGAAATGTTGTGTTCCCCAAAATGGCTTCACAAAAGCAGTTGTTTCTGTTGGGGGTTGGGGGGAAGTTAAGAGGTTGAGCGTTTCAGACTCATGTTAACAAAGTTATAAATTCTTTAAACAAGAATAATGTCACATCACAGTACTTTCATTTGTATCTTAGCTTTTGAGTCCCCCAGCCTTGCTTAAGTTTTTAGACCCCTCTTTTCCTGTCGCTATTTCTGTGACAAGTATCAGCACGGCCCTTCTCATGCTTTCTTACCACTGTCACTGTCCCCAGTGACTCCAGAGTTGCTGTGGGTTGAAGATTCTGGATCCTCCTTCACTTCATGTTGCGTGATATGGTATTGCCTTATTTCTGTAAAACCTTTTGTGACTGAGAACTACTTTTATCCATGTTACCTCATTTGGTGCTTGTGGGGAGCCTGTGAGGTCAGGATCATTAGCTTCATTTTATAGATTAGGAACACGAGGATCAGAGAGCTGAAAAAACTTGCCCACAGTCCCAAAGTTGGAAGATGATGGAGGCAGGTCTCCACCCTGAACTCTGTCCCCTTTCAGTTGCATTACAGGGAGGGAGGACAATTTCTTTCTCTTCTTCTCTGCTTTTCTTCCATGTCTTACTCTGGTCACCCATATACACATTGCAGGAGGTGGGAGGTGGTTTCAATTAATGTTTATTGTTATCATTTTAGGAATACTGTTCTATTGAATTGTTCAGAGCCTCTCTTGCTTATTGTTGGCTCTGAAAACATTTTGTTCGATGGGTGTCACACTGGTCTTTTGCAGCCTGAAAGCCTTCCTCAGAAAAACCTTCCTTTCTAGGGTTTAGTGTTGCTACTGGGCAAACAATTGGGATAACGCTGTTGCATGTGAATTTGGGGGGGGGGGGGCGACAGCATTTGGGATATCCTCAGAGTAACTGATTATAATAACTATATATAGTTCATCTTAACACTTTGTTGGGAGGTGTGAAAATACATTCTAGGAAAACATCTTTTATGTTTCATACATTCTTTTTTTTTTAATAGGCTTCACCAAGAGTGTTCCCTAAATATTTTTTCTGGGAGACAGAAGGCATGCATGTTTGGGGGGATGATTGGGGTCTTCAGGGTCTGAGAAGGGAGAAAAGCTATTGCAGACAGAATGGGTGATGTTCAGGTGGTTCTCCAGACAGGGCTGTGGTTTCCTGAGTGTGAAAGGCTTCCCTTCCCTTTGGGTTGCAGTGTCATTCTTTTAGGAACCTGAGGATGGGCCCTGGGACAGTTCAGGATCCATGTTCTTGGGCACACTGAGGAGTGTGCAGTATTTTGTGTCCTGGGCCTTATGCTTGCCTCTGATGTCAATTCTTCTCAGTTTGCAGAGCTGAAATTCTCTGACTGTTGCTAGGGTGCCTTGCCTGAGATTGTTCAGAGTATCTGTAGTGGTACATAGGCAGAGCCTAAAGGGCTATGTGGTCCTCTCTTGTCTGTCTTCTCTAACTGTACTCTCAGCCAGGCAGCTCCTAGGCATTGTCAGGGAGCCAGGGTGCTAGATGCACCCTGAGGCTCCGCTAGGTCTGCAGGACGAGCCAAGCAGGGCTCTCGGTGGCCTTTAGGAGCCATCGTTCCCCCCCACCCCCACCCCCTTGAGCTTTAATCACAGCCTGGAATGCCCTGAAGCGTTCCCCAACTCTTACTTACTTGTCCTTTAGGTGTCTGCTCAGGGGCCACCTCTTCCAGGAAGCCTTCCTTAAGTCCTCGGGTTAGGTACTTTTCTTCTGAACATCCACAGGTCTGGTATCACTGCACTATAAATGGTTGATTACGCATTCAGAGCTTTCTACAGGAAAACTAACCATCAGCTAGTTCTGCCAGGGTAGATGGGGCTAGTCCCATTCTGCAAACAGATAACATGGAGCAGTCATTTGTAGTAGGAGTTGTGGTGAATGACACTCCTTATACTTCCCAAGTTAAGGTCGGTTCAGGCTTACTTCTGTTTCATGTTTAGTCCTCTGTAAGTCAGTGATTGTTCACTGAATCACCTTAGCTTACTCAAGTAAATGCCTGCCCCAGAACCCGCTGTGGAACCCTTAGCTGCAGGCCGAGTTTGCCTGGACTCCCTTGGCACTGGGCTGGATGGATTCAGATATGTGAATGTCACAAGCAGGCCTGTATTTAATATCATTTTTGGACCTGGATGTTAGGAATGTGAGTGGAGAAGTGAATGCTGACAGTTCATCTGAGAGGTTTTATCCATGACCGTTGGTGATTTTAGAAACATGTCATTTTCCAGATTCTGTTTAGTTCTCTCATTTTGCTTTCTCTGACTGGTCCTTGCATGGCGTCTGTCTGTCATTCTGGATCCAGATTATCAGACTAGTGATCTGTATCAGACTCATTTCTGGACAGAGCCTGAGAGCACTGAACAGAGAAGCGTGGACTCAGAGTCAGACATTCCTAGGTGTGAATCCTGCCTCCAACTTTTCATTCATTCAAAAAATATTTATTGGGCTTCCCTGGTGGCGCAGTGGTTGAGAGTCCGCCTGCTGATGCAGGGGACACGGGTTCGTGCCCCGGTCCGGGAAGATCCCACATGCTGCGGAGCGGCTGGGCCCGTGAGCCATGGCTGCTGAGCCTGCGCGTCCGGAGCCTGTGCTCCGCAACGGGAGAGGCCACAACAGTGAGAGGCCCGCGTACTGCAAAAAAAATTAAAATATATATATATTAATATATATAATAATATATAATATAATATATTATATATCTATATTTTATTTTTATTATATATTTATATTTAATATATATAATAATATATAATATATATATATATAGTATTTTAAATATATATTTATTTATTTATTGGGCACCTACTATGTACCAGGCACTGTTCCTGGGGATATAGTAGTGAACAAAATAGAGTCCCTGCTCTCATCGAGTTTATATTCTACAGGGAAGAGACAGATGATAAACAAGCATGTAAAATAAAGAATACCAGGTAATAGGTGCTGTGAAGAATTGTGATCAAGCGTGGAAATCTAGGATAGTTACTTCTCAGAGCTTCACTTAGCACATCTGTAAAAGAGATTCTGTTCCTTCCTTATAAGGCTGTTAGGATTAAAATGAGATTAAAGTCACGGAAGTACCTAAGAGACACATAGTAGGCACTCTGTAAATCTTCCTATTTCCACATCATTTTCCTATGTGGATTTGGTGAGCTTTTTCCTTGCCAATTTAAAGGACCTTGCTTATCAGAGCACAAGGGGGAAAACCTCTTGTTCATAGTCCATTGCAGTTGCTTTTCCCAGTACCTGTGGAACATGTGAAAGCACCTTGATGCTTCCTGACGTATAGTAGGTGTGCCAGGGTCTTCAGTCAAGTGTGAGACTGCTCAGCTGAACTTTGTGTTGCCTCTTTGGCGAGACAAAAGAGCAGCTTCCCTGATGGGCGTACATCATGTTTCATGCCCAAGCAGGAAGCAGAGTGAGTATCTGCACCGAGCTGCCTGCTGTTGAGCAGCTGAGTTTTGAATCAATTCCAGTCAGCAGGTGCTTCAGAAGAACCAACACAGGGACTCCCGAGAGTCTGCTTCTATGGAATGAGGGGTTTTTAAAAAATCTCCTTCTCAAATAAACCTTGAATTGACTGTGTACCCCTCCCTAAGTGGGAGTAAGTTAAGTAGGAAACAGGTACAGCTGTGGGGCTTTTGCTGCAGGGAACAGACACAGCTGTTCCTAGGCCTGACTTCACCAAGAAAAGGGAATCCAGCCTGTGGCGTTTTTTCCAGGTGTGGAAATAAGCTGGGTGGTGCATGGGCTTTTAGTCTGGAAGAAGGGAGAACCTGGCCGGGGCGTTTCTGGTTTTTGCTTCTGGAAGTGAGACGCGCACTAACCTCTCTGACCTGGGTTTCCGTCTTCTCCCTCCAGGCCGTGCACATGGGGATGCGAGCACTCATCTATAATAGCTCCACCAGGGGCTCTCAGGCCGAGCAGTCAGGCATGAGGACCTACTACTTCAGTGCCGACACCCAGGAGGACATGAACGCTTGGGTCAGGGCCATGAACCAGGCTGCACAGGTGCTATCTCGATCGTCACTGAAGAGGTCAGTCCCCATGGAGGGTCCCTGCCAGAGCGCTTCCTACACAGGTGGGGGAACCCAAATAAGAACTCTTGGATGCCCAGAATTCCACCGTTCACTCACTCTTATTAAGCATTGCCCTCTCTTTGGAGTCCTTTTAAATGGTGACTTCGTCCAGGAGGAGACTGTTTACAGGGCCAGCACATGCTGCAGGCAGAGCTGGAAGGTCCCCTAGGAATTATCTAGTCCACTGTCCTCATTAAACAGAGAAACAGGAAGGGCTGGGAGGGTGAAATGACTGCCTGGGATACACAGCCTTGGTACCTGGTTGTATGTTTCTCAGTCTTTCTTCTCTTGTGTGTGGTGGAAGGGAAAACCTTGGGGCTAAGATTGGGGAGGAGGGAGCAGACAGACAAGAAAGATCTTGCAAACTGGAAACATGCCACCGACGGCCCACCTTGTTGTTGGGAGCTGACTTGGGAGCTGTCTTCCAGCTGCCTCTTCCCTCGAGTGGGCCAACCAGGGTACCATCAGGGATCTTGAAGTTCCTGAGTCTGTTGACTGTGGGTGATTCCCTGTGAGAAAGCAGAGGAGAGACTTGAGTGGAGTCATGGGCTTGGAGAAGGTGGGGTAGTCCTGGAAAGTCAGGGTGCCTTTAGCCAGTCCTCATCTGACATGAGCCCCGTTCTTCACTCTCTGGACACCTTGCTCTGCTTAGAGGCCTCTTTGACAAAGGTCTGTTAGTGAGGCCTCAAAACAAGAGTAGTGTTCTCCAGCAACCTAAAGACAAGATTCTTCAGTAACTGCAAATGGGTTTCACATGGATGTTTTTATATTGTCCGCCTTTTCCAACTCATGTGTATGCGATTTTTGGTGTTAGTGGTACTTCCTAGCTTCATGATATCTTTCCTGAGACGGTCAGACCTTTGATATAGATAGTGACCTCCCTCAAGAGGCCAGGTTGGGGTCAGGCTCTATCCTTGGAGCTTCCTAGCAACTCAGTCGAGCATTTGTCATGCTGGGTTTTTTTTTTTTTCCTGTCTATTTTTCAGTATCCTAGGCTTCAGGTGGGAATCATCTTTGTATATTCTGCACACCTGACATATAGTAAGCTCTCAAGTGTCTGCTGAGTGAGTAAGTGAGAGATAGGAAGAATGAATGAATACGTTGAACAGAACCAGGACCAAAGACTGTCCTGGAGGTTTCCCCATGGGCCCTGAATCAGTAACTCTTAACTACAGGTATTCAGTCAGGTTTGCCTCTGCTTCTTAGCATTGTCATCCAGCCTGAATTTTTCTGTAGTGTCCATAATGATGATATGAAAGCCTGTGCCATTAACCTGCAGGTACTCTGTTCAGAGTGACATTGGCGTTTCCACCTTCATCCTAGGAGAAGGAAACTGGGAAGGTTTGACACGACTTACTCCTAGTGTACATGTTCACTGTTTCCTAGTTTTTGTTGTTCATTCTTTTTTTTAATTAATTAATTTATTTATACATACATACGTACATACGTACAATAAATGAAGACATTTCCTGGCGGTCCAGTGGTTAAGACTCCACACTGCCAATGCAGGGGCCGCAGGTTTGATCCCTGGCCAGGGAACTAAGATCCCACATGCCACGTGGCACGGCCTAAAGAAAAAAAAAATCAGCACAATAAAGGCAAGAAAAATTAACAATTAAAAAAAAATGCAGAAAGCAAAGAGAAATATCCTTGGTCACCTTCCCAGGGTTGCCTCTGTTACCAAGTTAACAGGGATCCTTTTAAACTATTTTCTATTCATATATGTGCTTATATAAATATAGAGGGGGTTTTTGTGCTTTTTTTTATAGCATGAATGATATTGATCTTGAAAATCATTCTGTATCAGTGTACGTGGGCTACTGTTATTTTTGGCTGTTGTATGATCCTTCATAACGTAGAGGTACCATAATGTATTTAAGCATGTGCCATATCTTGGATAGTTTATTTTTTGTCCTCTTTTACTGTTGTAGGTAGTTGTGTAATGAAAAACTTTCTACAAGCCTCTGCGTGTGTGAGGCTTTCAGATTGCTAGGTCAATATACAATGCATTTTTAATTTTAATCAATACCACCAGACTGCCCTTTAAAGAAAGCTGTATATTCCACTAGTGAGAGCGCTCATTTCCCCACATCTTTGCCAACAGTTGATATTATCAATCTTTTTCATTTTTGCTGAGATGCTGTGTAGATAAATGGTATCTGGTTATTTTAATGTGTATTTTCATGATGGTAGGGACCTTTTATATTTATTGACCACTTGTATTTCCTCTGCACTGAATTGCTGGTACCTATTCTCTGCCCATTTTTCTACCGAGTTGCTTGCTTTTCCTCGGTGCTTCCTTTCCTACATGTGCTGATATCTGCCCAGTTAGGAATGCAGCTTAGCCTATTGCAGAGGTTGGTTATAGGCTCTCCAGTCTTGTTATTTAGTCTGTAATATTCTGGCATTTTCCCTGTTCTCTTGGATTCCTCAGAGATCACCTGAGAGGTTTCTTGAGCCCATCTCCGAGTGCCCTTAGGGCCTTGGCGTGCTAACAGCTGGGCCTTTTCCATCTTCCTCCCCACCTTGGTCTTTCAGTCCCTCTTAACCAAGGTTGTTCTCTTATTCATGATGAAGTTCATTCATCTTGATGAAGATAAGGAACTAAATCCAGAAGTTGAAGAATTCAACTTTATTTGTGCTGTGGTCATCTTCCCAAGCAGAGATACCTATGTCTCATATTTTTTTTAAAGTTCTCCCCTTCTTTATTTTAATTCTTAGAAAATAGAAAATTTTGTTTTATTTTACTTTGCTTTAAATAAACAAACCTCAGTCCTTCTAGACTTTACCATTTCTGTAGTCATACATGTAGGCCCGTTCCACTGGATTTGTATTTTATCTCTGCTTGATGCATTTCCTGTGTCCTTTTATAACGTGAGCCCTGAGAGCTTCCTGTGTTTTTACATTGGTTTCTTTCTACCAGCAACATTAAATGGGTTCATTCTTGTGTCCCAGCTTTGCTCGGTTCTTCGTGCCTGACGAGGGCACTGGGTCAACAATAACTTGAGAATGAGATCAGGCTTAATAGGAAAAAGTGCTGTGATTGATAAGTGATGTCTGCCTTGAACCGTTCAGGATGAACTTGATAGCTGAGATTAGGATTTTTTTTGTTGTTGTTTTTTTACTTTTTCCTACCTGAAGATTTGTAATTAACTATCAGATTTTGGTTTTAGAGGGGCTCCTTCCCTTCTCCACTGGGCTGCCTTCCAGATCTCAGGCCATTTGTATTGTCCCTAGCTTTTTCCTGAGCTTTTAAATGTGTTCTTACTATGCTCTTAATAAACTCTTAAAATCCCATAATCATCTTTGCCCAAGGTTTCTTCCCCATTTGAAAAAAAAAAACAAACTTGTTATACCTTCTGACGCAGACGAAAAGCAGAATAACATTTCCTCTTAATTTTCTGAGAGATGAAATTATCAGCCAAGGAAATTCAGACTTATTAAATGTTCTATTTTACCAGAATTAGATGGTCAGACATTTGGTTAGTTAGAAGCATTCATCATGCAGGACTACATCTTGCCTCTCCTCCACTTCGGTGATCTGCTCTGCAAAACCTCCATCTCTGTTACGTGGGTGGCCCCAACCATAGCTTTTTGTTCTCTCCCTCCTTGTTTCTCACCCAAAAGCTTCTATCCTTATTCATACAGGCAAATGCTTTCTTTATGAATGTGGTGCATTAGGACTTCTGACTGCAGGTAAAAGAAAATGCAAATTTACTTTAAAAGGGGAGGAATTTATTGATTCATGTCAATGAAAAGTTCAGGATAGCTTCTAGCTTTAGAAACAGTTGGGTTCAAGGCTCAGACAGTATCATTACAAGTAATTCTCTCAGGCTCTGCTTGCCTGGGCTGGATTCATTCTTAAACTCCATGCGGAGGTCCCTGGCATATCTAGGACCTGGTGGCTAGGTAGCTGCAGTAGCCCCAGACTTGTGTTGTCCAAGTTAAGTTCAGCAGGAAAGAGCCAGAGTGTTATCCAGAAGCTCTGAGGTCTTATTCTGATTAGACAGGCTTAGGTCACATTGATTCCCAAAATCACATACTGTGGCTAGGGAATGCATGTACTGATTGGCACAGACCTGGGATACATACTTCACTTCTGAGAACTAGACCATGGGGACTGAGAGCCAGGTAGGGGTGGATTCCCAAGTAATGCTAGGGCTATGGGCAGAGGAAGGAGAAATGACTTGATGGGATGTGGTAAACGAGATGTAAGCAACCAATATCCAGGCCACTTCCTACTGTATCAATTTCTTTTGCCTTAAGTACTAACTCCTCCCAGAGTTTAGTCTCTGAAGTTGGGTAGACCGGGGTTTAAGTCCCAGCTTTACTACTTTCTAGCTGTGTCACTTGTGCAATTTAGGTATGCTTTTTAAACCTCAGTTTTTCTAAGTTATCGGATTTTTGCAAAGATTAAATTAAATGAGTGTATAAAGTGCTTACTTCGCACATTGCCTAAGACATAGTTGATACTCCATCTCAGATGTGCTAGCTTCCGTAGGGTTTGGTTTAACAATGTCATTGGGTCTTTTTCCTTTGCACCCTTCCAGTTTCATCGTTAATCCTCTGGATTACATTGATGATGAATCTTCTGTGAGCAAATCATACTCTCTCCCTTGCCAGGATGTGCCCATCCCCTAGCAGCGTGAGTTGTGGCTCAGCAATCCAGGCTCCCTACAGCGCTGTCCCTCAGCCTGCCCCTCACCGCTCTCCTCCTCCAGCCCCTTCCTACGTCCTCTAACCACAGAGGGTGCTGAGCACCGTTGCTGCACCTCCTCCCTTTGTCCTCTTGTTTCCTACACAGGCTTCAGGGTCTCTTGATAGACAAGTATTCTTGAGACCCCAGCCCTATGCTGTAAGGAGCACCAAGCACTGCTGCCAGAGCCTGCCCTCTACCTCCTTCTGTCCATAATTTCTTCTCCCCTGTTTCCATGTTCTTCCACTTACCAGACTTTGGA